GTTAAAATAGCTTGACTAGCTGTACAAAATAAATCAATAAGGAAATAAATACAATTAAAAAAAATCCTCTCCCTGTGCGGCCTGGTACCAATTGCGGGCCGATGTCCGGTGGTTGGAGACACCTGATATAGTGGCCAAGGTTTCATACAGATCGATATTGTTTTCCTAAAATAGACATAAATGGTTTTCATGTAATGATACGGTGTCATACAGTGGACATACTGTATAGGTTGTTCAAAAAATGGGCATGTAAGGTTTTTATGGGACAGTGACCATTAATTGATGTAGGAAAACTGTTTTGAAATACAAAAAAAACCCCCAAAACAACACAGAATGTGTTCAACATTGGTAGTTTCACTTTAAACATGGTATTAATGAATGTTCTTTTTAAAAATTATTATTTGTATGATATATGTAGCCGTAAAAGGTTTATTTCTTGCTTCAGTAATTGTCGGACATGTTTTTCCATCCCACGGCGATACATTCTGATTGCCTCTGATGTTTCCACTCCTCCTTGATGGATCCTTTTATGAGAGATGTGCCGCCGTTTGGCAGTAAAATGCAAATAAATAACATTCGCGTGATGCTACACATTTAAATGCCGGTGTGGACATTTACAATCTCCCTGCCTGCGATGAGAACACATTTTTCAGTGCAGAACAGGTATCTGCCTCCCAGACAAGCATAATGAATATGTTAAATGTGGTTCATTCCACCAGCAGATGCCATTGCGGAGCATATTTTTCCTGCGCTTGGCTAGTGGAATCCCTTAAAATCAACATCCTGATGAGTTTGAGGATTGAGGCTATTCAAACAGCCACAGATCCGAGAGGCAAAAAAAAAAAAAAAAACCCTCCTTAATTCCATATTTCACACACAAATTCAACCCGTCAGAGAGGGGAAGGCCACAGCCAAGGCCAGTAACCCCGTTGGCAAATTAATCTTTCCCAGGATCAAATCTTATTGCTGTGAATATGCCCACATTGAGGTGAAGTTATGCGGGATCAAATTAAAAAAAAAAAAATCCTGTAAAATGGAAATGCTCCTGAGCCATACATCAATTATTTCACAGTTTCATATTGCGCATTAAATTTTTGGGCCTTTTTTAAAATAATGAGATAGTGACGACTGGTTCATATATAAAGCACATGATTATAAAATGGACATACGTGATTTTTACATGCACATGCATGGTCATCACATGGACATGTGGTATTCATGTCAAAAGTGGAAATGCATGCTTCTCATAATGTGGACATACTGCACAGTGCATGTGACAGCGTATGCATAAAATGAACTTGGTTTTCAAAACATGTACATTCAAGGTTTCTCATGTCCCGGTCGATTCACAAAAGGACTGCTCTGTTTGACCGAGAAGGAGTTTCGACTCTCATCCGAGTAGCCTTCATCAGTTCAGTTGCACGATCTGATGAATCCTTCTTGGATAAGAACCAAACAAATCTTCTAAGATAAACAGAGCAGTCCAGGAGAATAAATTCCAAAATGTTTCAACCCCCCCCCCCACTCCACCTCCCCCCACTTCCCACCATTGTAAAAAAGGTCATAATTGTGATTGTGTATGTGGTAGTGGGTTATTACGGCCCCTTGGTATTGATTTGTCAGCACTCCAGAGAGCAGAGTGAATGGAGGTGGTGTTATTACTCAGGCCAGAAATAATGCCAAAAAGCTGTTGTGAGACTTGAAATCCGCCTTCAAGCGATCGATGACGTCGCCCGTGATTGGCTGCAAGTTAAAGTTCATTTCACTGTGAAAAGAACATCAAGTAATGGGGGCGCCAGTTTTTCCACGCACAGATCCAATGAAGTGCACAGTTAACCCGCCGCCGTCTGGAGACTTGAGTTGACTTTTGCTTAGCTCGTGTCCTCCAAGTGCAGGCCGTCCAATCAACACTGGTGTGATGTAGTAACACAGATAAAAGCATGTGCGAGATGAAGATTTGCGGTCATGTGCAGGGGTCAATTTGACCCGGGCCATCAAAGGACATTAGACAATTTAAAGAAAATTTTTATTTTTTTTAAAGTTTATATTTTTTCGCCAAGTTTTACAACTTTAACATGGGTCAGTTTGACCCACTACGCACTACACTACAGCCTCAGAAATCTTTTTTGTTGTTGTTTTTTTTTAAACATATTTTTCACTTGAGTTTTTAACTGTAAAGTTGACCTGGTACATAACAAAAGCATCAATTTCAACAAATATTTATCCTTGTATATTATTTCTGTTTTCGCAAGCTTTAAACTTTGCACTGGTTCAATTTAACATGCTTTATTAGCAGTAAAATGTTTCAAATGTTTTTCGAAATGTTTTAAACTAACGGGTCAATTCGACCCACTGTACAATTTAACAGCAGGCATCAATTTCAAGAAATATTTATTCTAATGGAAAATCTTATTAATATTGCATTTTACACATTTAAATGGGTCAATATGACCCTGTACATAGAAGATTAGGCAGTCATAAAAAAATGTACCCTAAAAAAAGGTTTGGGTTTTTTTTTCCCAAAAAATGTTGAAAAAAAATTAAACAATATGACCTGATTCATAACCTGTGGTTTAATATTGGTCAATTGAAAAAAAAAAAAACAATCAAATGTTATTATTTGAGTATTTTTTGTTCCTATTTCTAATGGAAAAAAAAAAAAATACTAATGAGTTGAAAACGAGTGCAATTGATGGCTCATCAAATTGCAACTCTTCAGATATGATCATTAATAATTGCCGATGATTTTCTTTGCCTTTGGGATTTTCTGGATTTTATTACCACCGCATCGGCTTCTCATTTCCTGTCCCACGCAGTCAAATCATCTCATCATCTTTCTTTGGTGCCGCTTTCCTCCTCGCCTCCAATAATACCATTGAAAAAGTGCGGCGGCCATTCCGAGTGAATAAGTCATGAACGTTAACAAGCGGCCGTGGAAATTGTAATAAAAACACCCCCTAAGCCCTCCCTCTCTCCTCTTTCTTTTTTTTTCCGACGGAATCATTTCAAGGTTCACGCGCCTTGTTAATTTTCCGCCGTTGTGTTTTTTTGCTCGGCTGACTGCGGTGATGCGGAAGTAATTACTGGCGTATGCAATTTACAACAACATGGAATGAAATTAGCTATTTCAAAGCCTCCATTAAATAAAAAAGGGAGCAAATTGTCTCACAGTAATTCCACAGTAATCCAATGGTGAGATTCAAAAGTTTTGTGACAAAATGACTTTTTATGGTGGTGTATGAGGTGGTGGCGAATTCCATCCCTGGAACATGACAAAGTGTGAGTCCCCAACCCCATCCTGGGCCTACGAAAAATATTACCCCCTTGTAGCATAGTCTTCTTTTGAGCCCCCCAATAATACCTTATGAGCAAAATTAGACAAAAGGAAATTCATTGTCTGCCATAGGTAGAGGCACCCGGGAAAGTGATTCTACCGATCAGTTGATTGCAGAATCCTGAAAGCAAAAACCTCACTTTGCTCATTGCCACTAAGATGAGTCTCTAAGCAGGAGAGGAGAAACGGCAGTAAAACAGACCAAAATCCATATGTCAAGGGATGAGGCAGGGAAAGAGGTTAGTTTTACACACTGTGTTTTAACCATATGTCGTGATATACGCCTTAAGTCAAGATTTACAAAATTCTCCAGAGTTTTCCAATCATCCACTGACATTGTTCCTTGCCCTTGCGCTAGGAATTTATAAAAGACCATGGACGATGGGAACTATTGTCAAAATGTAGTTCAGGGTAATTTTGGGGGCCGGAAGAAGACCAAGCTAGGAAGGTAGTACTTTCCAAAGGTCCAGAAACTGTAGATTTGAACATACTTAACTGGAACAGTTTTGTCACAGGAACTAGAAGTATCAACAACTTCTAGAGTCTCAGGTAGAAAGGCTTCTTTCGTCAAGTGCTATAACTTTGCCAGCTATGACATTGTTGCCCTTCTGTCTCTGTTCTTGCCTTTTTACTGCAAGCTTTTGAAGTACCATTTTGTGTCTGAAGCACAGTCCTCCAAAAGTTCCTGGTTCCAGGGAAAATGCCTGGTTTCAATTGTTTGAATGCTATACTGCGATTAGCTGATGATGAGACCGATGTATTTATTTTTTTAAATTACAAATTGTCTATTTTTTTTTCGCAAGCAGCAGTGGAGAAAGAGCAAATGGCCCAGAAAATGTTTGGCTTCAAGTTAACTGTATGTGCGTGAGACACATGCAGAAAATGATGAACAAGCAGAGTAGATCTTGTAAATGATGCCAGCAGCTGCTCGGAGAGCTTTTAAAACCGAGGAAACTGTGACAATTTATCATCTTTTTTACTAGCCAACTACATTGGATTCATTTGTAGTGTGGACATTTTCAGCAAATTGAGTACTGCTGAAAAAGGAACGTTAGATGCCCTGTCAATGTTTAATATTGTATAGGACAGCAAAAACTGGATTGACATTTGTTATTTTATTTGTTTTATTTTTAAATCTTTGTTTTTGTATAGCTTTTAATTGACTGGCTCTGGCAATTTTCTAAATTATTTTAATTCTTGCATTTTTTTCCCTAATGATAAAAGTATCTGTTTTAATCTACTTATCTATGTTCTTTTTGATTATTTTTCTTATTCTTATTATTTTCTGTATTTTCGTAATTACTTGAAAACGAATAATGAGAGAGCCAATGATGAGAAAGAGTTACTGTACTGCATTTAAATTTAATTCACTTAGATCAATGAATATAAGCAATACCATTAAAATACATATGTATATACAGTACATTTGGAATGATTAATCAAAATCATTTCAAATTTAATATTCCGTATTTTCGCCCTCCTTTTTAGGACCCTGGATGATGGAATTTCCTTATTCTTATTCTGTCATACCATCATCGTTATTGGTATTTATGCTCCATTTTCAAGGTGTTTCATTTTTATAGTTCACCTGCAGCATGCTTTATTTAAGGAGACGAATGTCAGTCGAGACACGTGCAGCGCAAGTCAGAAGAGCGCATGCGTGCACACGTGATCCGCTGTACAGGAAGTAAATGAAGCGTCGTCCCGCGTCATCGCGCGCTTTCGAAACGCGGCCTAAATGCAATTATTAAACAAAATGGACGAGCTTTATCTGGATAACATCGACGAGTACGTCAACGACCACGACAAGATCGTAAGAACGATTTTGTGTTGCTTGCTGTCACGTTCCTATTTTGTATTGTTGCAACTTTTCAACTAATTGAGCTTCGGCGCGTAGCTGACAAATGTCCACTGACAAAACTGACCAATTAAAGTAAATCTCGATATAATGCCGTTCACATGGCGAGTAACCCACATTGCTCAATATCATATTGCTTTACATGCTATTTGGTTTATTTCGGCTTCGATTTCATCCTTGGAAACACATTAAAACAGTAGAAAATGACACTGAACGTTGACTGTATTGTAGCAGACGAATGCATGAATGAATAAAGCGGCGATTTAAAACAAAGCCCCAGAGTGCTGTTCACAAATTGTCTTGAAGTTCAACGTTTTATTGTTTTTTTGGGAATTTAATTTGGCGTTGGCTTTATCTCTGAAAAGACGTTGAATCGGTATAAAATGTCCCGAAATGCCAACAATGCATCAGCTTGTAACTGCTGTTTTGCAAGATAGAACTACTTTGAATGGAATAAACTAGCCTCAAAATGGAGAAAATGTTAGTTTTAAACGTCCCCTCAATTATTGTGGTATTTCCATGTTTTATATTGTTTCATAACAATAATGCCTGTTTACTTATGAACAGGTTACATATAAATGGCTGAGTCTCACTCTTGGAGTTCATGTCAACACAGCTAAACAGTGAGTCTTTTTCCCTCCCTTTAACCATAAAATGACATGGGGAAAGAAAAACCCAAAAGCAATAATTTTTATTTTTCTCTACCCAGAATGCTCTATCACTACCTGGACCACAAGAGGAAGGAGAGCTCAGCTCAGCTCCATGCAACTTACTTCGTTTCGGGAAAGTGTGTGGACAATGGTCACACGGTGCGCTCAAACAACTCAAATCCTATGTTTTGTTTTATTTTTTAACGATTTCTGATTATTTACTCAAGTATTGCTTCTTTTCCAGAGTCATAAGGCGTCAGTGGTGCGTGAGGAACAGCTGGAAGGTGTGTCATTTTATCCACATTTTAGGAATCTTGTTAAATAAAAATGTGCACTCATTGTTTTTTTTGGTTTGTTTGTTTGTTTTCGCAGAATTCAAGTCCAAGATGAGTTTGATCGTAAGCGTGCACGTTTACAGCGTCCAGAAAGCTCTGCTGAGAGACAGCGGGCCGCTCTATGCTGTCGACTACGACGCCGTCAAAGACAACCTCCTCAGCTGCAGCAAGTAAGTCGATCTCAAAAGCTCACTTTGCAGGGTCGCTAAAGACTCTTTTTAATGGGAATACAAATTAGAATGTGCAAGAATAAATCAGGATTCTTTTAAATCAAGGTCAAAATGTTTAATTTTACACCTTATCTGATACACTCCCCTGTTGAAATGCCACAATTAGTGACATTTTCTTCGGGTATCACAGGCAAGGAAAGACAGTTTTATTGATATAGCACATTTCATACGCAAGGCAACTTATCCTCACCAGAATCGTGGGCGTCCTGTAGCTTTTCCCAGCTGTCTTCAGGCAGTAGGCGGCATACACTTGCTGCCAGACAACCGCAGGACACACATGGACGAACAACCATTCGTGCTCAATTATGTGTGTTCGGTTAACCTATCATTCATATTTTTGGAATGTGGAAGGAAATCAGAGTACCCGGATAAAACCCACGCATGCATAGGGAGAACATACAAACTCCACCTTGGGAGGCTGGAGCTGGATTCCAACCCACGACCTCCGCACTGTAAGGCAAACATGCTCACCAGTCTCCCACAACGCCACAATAAATAGAGTGTCTCTCACAAAAGATGAGTCTTGTAGAGTTAAACTTTTTTTTTTAACTTACCTTTTTTGTCTTGAATGCCACTATTTTTTACCCTTTAAACTGAAAAAAAAAAAATCACTTGCATGTGTGATGAGTTTGTGTTGTGCTTATCCACAGGTATAGCGCCATACGGTGCTCCAGTGCCGTTCCCATGTCCTCGGTGGAACGCAACGCTCAGCAAGCTCCGCCTCCTCCTGTTCTAGAGCCTCAACAGAGCAAGAAGCCTTCCACTAATGGAGACACCACTTCCAAAGCCAGGCCGGCCAAAAGCATCATGGGGATGTTCGCTGGAAAAGCTGCAGTAGCTAAGAGCCAAGATGGTGGCAAAGAGGTGAAGTCAGAGCCTCAGGAAGCAGCAGCTGAGGTTTGTCCCCCAGTAAACCTTTATAAAGCAGTGAAATTGGTGGAATTGAATCTGCATGCAAATGTACCTTTGTGGCTGGACCAATACCTTCTGCACTGAAGTATTCCAGGTATGCAGTTTTAACAAAGCAAGTTTATTCAACTGTAGCTTACGTAACTATTTCACTTGCTATTGCCTTTAAAAAAAAAAAAAAACCCAGTAAACCTTTATAAAGCAGTGAAATTGGTGGAATTGAATCTGCATGCAAATGTACCTTTGTGGCTGGACCAATACCTTCTGCACTGAAGTATTCCAGGTATGCAGTTTTAACAAAGCAAGTTTATTCAACTGTAGCTTACATAACTATTTCACTTGCTATTGCCTTAAAAAAAAAAAAAAATCCAGACTGTCAGTTGTAATCTTGACATAATGCCGCGCGGCTTTTGCCCATCCCACTTACCAGGCAGTTCAAGAGATTTAATAAGATTTGTTCCCAGGCAAATTTTCATTTGGTTAATGATGTGTGAAAATAACAGATGACATCAGGACAAACCAATAGTATTGATTTGTGTGGGGGGGGGGGGATATGGAATTGACCATATATGGACATATGGGGGTTCACTCCCACAAGCTCCCCGCACAACAGCGGCGGATTTTACATTTGAGAAATTACGTGGCGCCCCGCCAAACAAAAATGTGACAAAAGGTAGATATACCCATCTTGTCCCAATTTCCTCACAAATGGACCTGCTTCTTGAATGTGTAATGGCTCATTCTGTGTATGTATGTGTATTCTGTCTATAGCAACATGTGGCTACAGTCGTTAATTATGGACCTTCTGCCATCTAGTGGAAGCATGTTTATTTGCTCTGCCTGTCACTATATGTCACTGGCATCGATAGATGAACAAAGATATATTGTTTTTTGTAAATACCTAAATTTCAATCCCTTATTTAAAGAACATGGCAAGTCTGTCATATATCTTATTTATTTTTAGGTGGATGTCCCCAAAGGAAAAGCATCGGCAAAGTTCAATCACATGATGAACTTCTTTGGCAATCAAAGCATGAGTAAGTGAACATTGAATCCCATGCAATTAAAAAAAAAAAAAGAAGAAGCAGCTCAAATTTCGAACAGTGTTTTGTTTACCACACAAGTAAACAGATGTGAAATAGTTGTAAAAAGAAAAGTAAATTCTCTGGATTTCAGAGAAACAAGAGAAACCTGTGAAGGAGGAGGAAGAAGTAGCAGTGGAGTCCTCGTTGGCGGAACCACGACAGCTGGAAAAAGTGCAAGGAGAAAAGGTCACAACGGAACCGCCAAAGTACAACAAGAAAGACTCAAGAAGGTTTGTGACAGTGTACAATGACCGGACAATTAATTAGGTACACACGGGATATGAGATCCGATGCAAAATTTAGCCAAATTATGTTCTACTTTTGAGGTTCCGTCATTTTGTTCAATCACTGAACAGAGCCAGATTAGGATGTGACAGCGGGGCTAATTTACCGAGTAACCACCCCCACGCACTTTATTTGATCATGAATTTGAAGCTAGCGTTTGGTGACGCTCCAGAGTCACTTTCAAGCAATGGCTTAGATTGTTATGCTTGGCGGGGAGTATTTTTGTTGGCTGTCTGCTGCATGGGCCGCAACACAGAGCTGCACACTAAAGTGTAACTTTTTCGCTTGGAGATGAAGTGCTGCATCCACCAAGGAAAATGCAGTCCGTACTGTTCCTGGTTTATGTGTGCTCGCTTTCAAGACTTCAGAAGGATTAATGATCATGAGATTGTGTACCAAGTAAAAAGATTACCAAAGTGTTTTAAAATATTACGGCTATGATCTCTTGCAGCCTATTAAGTTTTTTCTTCTTCTTCTTCTTCCTGAAGCAAAACCAAACGTCTTCAGAGTTCTGACAGTGAGGAGGACAAAATGGAGAAGAAGAAACGGCGAAGGATCAAGAAGCCTGTGCCAGACAGCAGCGAAGACGAAGATGGTAAAAAAAAATCGTTTTACCCTTCTGCTTGATTGGGCCGAACTGTTCCATTCGAGTCTTGTAGGTGGCTGTCATCGGCATAACATAAAATGGATGCCAAATGCAACCTATAGCCAAGTTTTCTACTCGACTTGTTTGGTTCTTGCTCCAACACGGCCCTGAAGTAAGTTAGCTGTAACACCTAAGAGTATGTATGTAACCATTAAATGTAATTGAATAAAAATTTATGAAAACTTGAAAATTAAATATATAAATATTTTTGAAACAATATATTTTTTCAGCAAATAGTGTTTTTTATTATTATTATTTCATTTTATTATTATATATAATTTTTACTCACTGATCTTGGACATGTTCGTATATATTCTGACACAAAATGGGATTTATATTCACAACAAATTGCGTGTGCCCATCTGGTCAAATTGTAGCTGCGTACCACCAAGGTGATATATAAATGTATCTTTTTATCTTTTCTGTATGATCAAAACCCATAAATATCCCAGTAAAAATAAATGTCTGCAGTCATTCCAGATTCACCGCCACCAGTGGCTATGAGAGAAACCTCACCAGCTCCCACCATGGAACCTGCTTCACATGTAAATATGACAATACCTTTTATGCCTCACTTGTAAATAATTCAGATAATGAAAAAAATGTTTCTTTCATTACAGCCGGGACTTTCTGAGACGACTAAAATACGCAAGCGCAGACGTGTCCTGAAATCTCGAACCTTCGTGGATGAAGAAGATTGCATCGGTAAGCAAATTACAAATGTCAACTTTCTCCCCGGTTTATATTTCTGATTTCCTTGTGTGGTTGCAGTGACGGAGAAAGGCTACGAGAGTGAGTCGTACTCGGAAGACGAAAGCGCCACCAAGCAAGCGCCGACAAAAAATCAGGCCAAAACAAAAACGTCAGCAAGCAACGAGAAGAAGAGTCAAAAGAAAACTACAGAGAACAAAGCGACAAAACAAGCTTCCATTATGGGATTTTTCCAGAAGAAGTGATGGACAAAAAACATAGACATGTACAAACACACACTCACACACTCATTCTCCATAAACTTACGGTGCTGTCATATAATAAACACTCATGGAAAAATGTTTGTATTGTATTGTATTGATTGTCAGTGGCATTTTTTAGGTGCCCTTACACTAATGGATCAGCTCCAGATTAAATATGATTGAATGTTGCTGCGAACATCTACGTAGATTACATTCAAATTGAATATAAAGACCATGACTATTATGTATGGTTGTGTTTGCAAGTTGGGATCTGACACACAAGCACTAGCAACATTCGACACACCCTTGAGGCAAGAGCACAAATGAGCCTGGTCGAACTGGTCTTTCCCAAGAAGAAAATGATCTCTCGGGGCGTGGTTTAAAAAAAAAAATGGATAGAGGCCTCCCTTGCTATGTTGCCTGGTGAATTTTTTGGCTGTGGCTCCTAAAGACAGCTGAGTCACAGTGCATGGGAAATATCCTCTTTGCTCTACACAATAACACCAGTATTCCTGCTATTTCACTTCCTTCTTTCAATTTATTTAAAAATAGAAATAATGTTCTGACATTTTAGTAATCTGGGGTACATTTATATCTCGTATCATGTATTCATCAACTACATTCGGATTAAGATTAATCTTCAAGTCTGCCTATGCAAATAAGTCATAAGTATGTACAGTGAATAATAAGGGGGTTATGTCAATATAATAGAAATTATTGGAAAATATATATTTTTTAAATGCCCTGAAAACTAAATGGACTGGCTGAATTTATGAATAATAAAATTCACTTATGATATTGTCTTGACACTAATTTTTTTGCCTTTGTAAGAGTTTTGTCAATTTAAAGGAGACGCCAATCCCCAAATTTTCTTGACAATATGTTTTATGCACCTTCACTAGTCCAAACACTGCATTTTGTGTTTGAGGTATAGGCGTTAAACAGCAAAATCTACCCGTTTTTAGCCAACTCCTGGGGGCGGCCATTTCTTCACACTCTGTGGCTTAAACTGTGATGTCATTTTCAGTCAGCAGTAAGTGGCAAAATGTGCCACAACAGATGGACGAAACTAGTGGATTTGAAGGTTTTACTCATATTCCACATATGCAGTGGTTATCTGAATCCCGTAAACATATTCTTGTAAAGACAAATTTTGGGTTGACTTTCCCTTTAATGTAACAAAATAACTTGAAATAACTGATGCTTTTCATAGGATGCATATATTTTATTCCTTTTCTATAAAATTATTAAATATTTTAAATGTAACATTTATTTGAATATTTATTTTTAGGTTTTCTATTAATTAATTTGTATTATTGTTGATATTTTATGCATATATTTGTCATTCATGTTTAAAAATGTATATGTTAATATATTATTTTCATGTAATTGGTATATTTGATTCATTATATTTTTATGAAATTTGTAGTATAATTGTAACGTTTTTCAAGTAAATTATTCCATCCATGGGGCAAAATAGATTTTTTCTCCCACCCCAACAATCCAGTCCAAGTATTGCCAGGAGGGAGTGACGTCATGGCGATGCACACGAGCAGGGCGGGGGCGGTGGCCAGGCAGCAGCAGCCAGCAGCCAGGACTCATCCACCGGTGTCATGGCTTCCTAACAGTCGGGGGGACTGAATGAGAGCGAAAACAAGCCCGCTTGTCTCCAAGGCCCGACGCGCTATCACCCTTTTCCCATCGAACCGAGAAGGGGGGGCTGGCCAGGCCTCGATTTTTGCTCAGGATAGACCTTTTCAAATTATTTCTGTTGCATTTGAGCCTTCAATTCCCCCCGACGTTTAAAGGCGAGCACCGCGCTGGTGGAAGATGGCCGACCCGGCGGAGTGCACCATCAAAGTGATGTGCCGTTTTAGGCCTCTCAATAGCTCCGAGGTTACTCGAGGAGACCGATACATTCCCAAGTTCCAAGGGGAAGACACCGTTATTATCTCGGTGAGTCAAACGCCGTCCAAGGCGATGATTATTTACTCCATTAACCGGGGCTCCTGAGCTCAAGTCAGCGATGCGCCATTTTAATTGTCTTGTAGCTTTACGGTAAGTTAGCGCCCTTAGCTTGTTAGCACGAAGGGTTCACCCTCTCCGCTGCTTGGGAAGAAGCAACCGGTGTCCGGTGAGCTGTCACCGGGATTCGAAATGTATTATCCGATATCCGGTCCACATTTTGGGCTTGGTGTCACCCTAAATGTCAGCCCAGTTAACTAAGTTAGCCTCGGCCACAGCTAACCAGCTGTCAATCAACAAAGCCTCCCAAGACAGTGCCAGTTAGCCACGTTAGCCATCTAGCGTGCAGCACGTTTGGAACATATTTATTTTCGCATAATAAATATAAAAATGGTGGTTAATACTAAATACTAAGCCATTATTAATGGTCAAGGTCTGAGCTTTGATTTGAGAGTGGCCAACAGTTATCTACCAGCCGGCCTTTGGGCTAAGCTTGACCGGTCTTAGCAGTTATTTAATGAAAAGCTTACTTAGCACTTAGCTGACCCAGCTACTTCACGTAACGAAAATGCTTGGTGAAATTCACCCATTCTGTGTGTGTGTTTCTTTTAATGGTAAGGAGAAAAGCCGACAATATTGGTCTATCGTAGCCAATGACGTCTGTGGAATTGTCTCCTTTTTGACGTAGGTCCCCTATCACGTGACGCTGAATCATATCCATACCTGCAAATCCAACCCACCTTTAGCGATTTATATGTCGCATTTCCGTAGAAAATGCTGCAATCCAACAAAAATACGATCGTTGGGTTAATTCCATTTTTTTGTAAAATATTTCACGCATGTGGCTCACAGTACTGTAGAATTTAAAAAGGCTACGGTATTGATAAATGTCAACAATGATACCAGGATCCAATGGTATGTAAATGGAACACACCCTGGTGATTGTTTCGGCTCAAATACAGGTAGCTAAATTATGATGTTGAAATGCAGCTAACATCCACTGTCTTTGATTCTCTTTAATGTTTTTAGTGAAACCTCTCTGGTGTCTTTCCTTTTTTTTTTTTTACTTTTTTCAGTCTTGCTCTAAAAGTTATATTAAGGCAATCTTAGTTTTTAGTTAAGTGAATTTGGACAATTTCCCAATGGCACACCTGATTATCTCCCATGATACCCACTGCCCTAAAACAATATAATATCGTCTCATCTCACATCATTACCCTTACAAATAAGTGGATGACAGATTATTTGATTTTGGAAAACAGCGCACTAGAGATACCAGGGCGCTGGCGTGTGTTACAGTTTGAAAAAAATACCAATTACTGCTTTTCTTTTAGCCGTTTTTATTCAATTTTCCAAGTGTTGTACCTCTGCTTGTCACACTGATTTGTGAGGGGCCCTAAAGGCTGCATTAAGAAAGCAAAAATCTACTGCAGCACACACGCACATACTGTACACTAGCGCTGCAAATAATTATTTTTAATAATTGATTGTTTATTATTTAATTGATTATTCAATGAATCGGATAAAATGTATTTCAATCTGTATCTTTAAAAGCTGACATAAAATTGAAGAAAATGCACAAACATGATTATGACTCCGTTATTGGTTTGCTTCCAAACATGTGAGAAAATGGGCAAACATGTTGATCAATATTTTCCAAAGTAAAAGCAGGTATTTGCAAATCTTATCTTGATTCGAAATCAGTTTGCTTTTGTGGAGGATAACAGAAATCTGCAACTATTTATTATTATTATTGTACATTAAACAACGTCTGAAAATGATTATCAATTCATTTGATAATGGATTAGTTGTCGATTGATCGTATTGTACACCAGTGAATAATTAACAGCTTGAAGCATGCACTCCACATCTTTTTTGCTGAAGTGCACCAAAGTACTTTGAAAAAATACATGGTACCATTTCATTTTTGACAGATAGGCATTGTGGTACTTCTTTCGCACCATATAACAGGGGTCCCCAACCTTTTTTGTGTCACAGATCAGTTGAGAAAGTACATGCTGCTCCATTGCCTTTTCTGTCAGAAGAGGGCCGCTGATCGAAAAATGATTGCTCCTCACCATTTGAAAAGTGCCTTCTCCAGTTCAGGATGTGCTGCGCCCCGAAGCCGATTACGATCATCTTTCAATCTGTTGGCCTCGTACTCTGCCATGATTTTGTTGCCATTACGCATGATTGTTGAAATAATTGACTTTGCCTAATTATAGTGTCGGTTGAGCTTCATTTGGGAGACTCCCTTTCGAAAATTTGAGACAATTTCAGCCTTGAAAATGAGCTCCGTGAAATCGGGACTGTGAAAGGTGAATATTATAGGGGTGAAAACGTAAACTGGGTACGTTGAAAAGAGGCTCGTTGATATTACTATGTTTACTGCTTCTTCTTTCATTTTTTGACAGATTCTGTTTATTTATATAACTTGCAAACTGACGTTTGAAAGGGGACTCCGAGTGGCTAGAGTCACGCATGTTTCCGCCATGTCTGATGGAGTAAATTTGCTCACAGCTCGCAGGTCTGTCTCTGTGCGGCGCGGTCCCAAATGGGCCGAGGCCCGGTACCGGTCTGCGGACCCTGTGCTTGGGGACCACTGCATTATAAGATTCAATCCCAACAAGTGTTGCAAGGGACTCTCTATCTTTAGGTGAGCATTCAAGATACTTTTCCATTACAGGTTCCAAAACAGCCTGGTCCTACTTTGCCCTGGCCTGGCCTCTGTTGCTTTTCCAGTGCAACCGGCGCCAATCAATTGTGGTGGGATCAGTGAAAATGTGCAGGTTTCTGTCGCAAGATTGCACGAGTGGTCAAGACTGGTTTTGTGGCGATCTGAATAAGCTCAATTGGACAATGTGGTAATGTCACGGCCCTCCTTAGCCTGCCTTCTAGAACCTGGTTGGAGGAGGTTCCGAGGAACGGTGGTGCCGTTGTCACCACTCGGCCTCGAAAAAGTGACCGCACACAATGGAACCGGTCCAATGGAAAAGAGGCATTAATGGAACTTTAATGTTGAACCATTAGCTGCTGATGAGTTGTTAACTTCATCCGCTGCCACTTGCAGTCTGGACACTTGCCAGCATCATTGTGAGATGTTTACTCCCCTGTTTTCTCTCACACTTTTTGGTTGACAGGGGTAAGACAGGGTCACAGAAAGAGCACAAAAATATGTATGTGGAATGGCATGAATATAAATATTTTTTGCGTGTGTGAATAGTTTTGTTCGCTTTGACAGGGTAAAAAATAACAATTTTGTTAATGGTGAGTCACAATGCGGCTCAGGGGCTGTAAATTGAACGGACCTTGGTGATTGTTATGGCTCATGTTTGAATCCAACTAAAATCCACTGTCTTTGATTCATTTTATTATGACACCTTCTTGGGAGTTTGCTCATAATATCAATATTTATAAAGGTATTTTTTTTGCGTGTGTGAATAGTTTTGTTAGCTTTGACAGGGTAAAAAATAATTTTGTTAATGGTGAGTCACAATGCGGCTCAGGGGCTGTAAATTGAACGGACCTTGGTGATTGTTTTGGCTCATGTTTGAATCCAACTAAAATCCACTGTCTTTGATTCATTTTATTATGACACCTTCTTGGGAGTTTGCTCATAATATCAATATTTATAAAGGTGACATTGATAAATATTAACTGTGAAATCTTCGGAATACTCTTTTTAAGACGCAGAGCCCTGTCACGGGACATTGGCATTCACCTGCAAGTTGAACAAATCTGGGCAGTTTTGTCTCATAAAGATAAATTGTTATAATGTGACTAAAATTCTGCCGTTGTTTCAGTTGAATGTTTTGTGACACACCCCTCGATCATATTTCAGTCACAATTTTGTACAATAACAAAGATTACGATGTTGATCGTTGCAAGTGTCTTTTTGACCCAGGCTCTGTCACGTCCCGTGACACTGGATCATATATTTACCTTTCAATCTAATGCACCTTGGATTCAAGTGTAAATTTCTCATGAGTGTTGGCCTTGGATCTGTCCATGGTTTTCAGACAAAAGCAAGAAAATAACATTTTGACTTAAAGGTGTAGATTTTATTTTCTCAACGTTGTGTTCTGTTAACTTTTGGCATTGGCTCATTTTATCAAATGGTGGTTAAACATTGAGTGCCTTGATTGCTCTTTTGGACTTTGCTGCTCGTAAATTGCTCACCTTCTTCTTAAATGCTCTGGAATGATAGACATAAAATCAAAGCCTCACAACATTGAATATGTATTTGTGTGTGCGTTGTGGGGTGGGGTGCAGACTTAACCGCACTTGTGATTTGAAGACTTTCGTCAAGGCCGACTTGAGGCATCTGACTAATAACAGTCTTGCGATCTGCTCCCCTTCAAACACGGCCCAGGCCGACCTGACCCGGCCCGGCTCAGCTGCTGACAGCCCGCCATAGTGTCAAAAGTGCTGCGTGCTTTGTGACTGGAGCAAGTGGTGTGTGTTTGCTGGAGTGGTGACTTTGACGAGTATAACACACTTGAGCTCCTTTGACCAGTCACAGCTGCATGCAGTCAAGTCAGATGCTAAATCAGTCACCCTGGCAGAGATGGCTGGTTATTGTGCGGTGTTTCAATGGAGGATGTGCAGGAGTGCTGTATTACTTTTAAGTCAGCTCGCTCTTGGAAAATGTGACGCAAAGTCTTATTTCTGGAAGTAAAGAAGAGTGTCCACACTTGGCATTACGGTCTCTTCGGTCATGTTCTTGAAATAAATGGCCAAACGTCGCCTTGTTTAAGCTTTTTTTTTTTTTTTTTTTTTTTTAAACCAGCTTGCAGCTGATTTGTTTGCATGACCTTTTCATGAGCAGCATGCTGGTTCCAAACAGCGACCTCGGGTAAGAATGTTTTAAATACAGCTTTGGCGATCACAAAATTGCAACCAAAAAACCTGAATGCTTCAGCCATAGTCGAGGCTTTTGTCCGAAACACAATATTCTGTGGGACTTATAAGATCAGTCAAAATGCTGTAATATGGCAGGCAGAATGGGCAACTTTTGCCAGTGAAGCAGTTATTTTATTCCAAAAACATGGAATGATGTATTGGACCAAGAGTCACAAATATAATTTGAATCTGAACTGGTGTATCGTTACAGCCCTAGTTAATACTGTGTTAGCCGCACGAAGGAAAGAAAGTGGGAAGTTGTACGTGTGGGTGCGCCATCCAGGTGAGACCATTGTGAGGAGCTGAGCTATCGTGTTGCGTTCTGCCTAGCAACAAAGTCCAGTGAGATTTCTTGCCATTGTGCAACGTGAACACTCACCAGCAAAGTCATCAGGAAGTCCTTTCACGTGAGCGTCCTCCCGCTCCTCCTTGTCACTGTAATTTTGTTTTCATTTTCAGCATGTAATCCCATTAGACGCAAATTTAGGTAATAAGGCCGGTGGCCACGTTGACAATGAGGAGTTGACAAAATGGGTGCCGCACTATTGTTTGCCTCCGACTTCTGCCGTGGCCGATAGTGGTGTCGCACCTTGCCAACTGGCAGGTTTACACGCAAGGAAGTGAATGATCAGCCTATTAACCAGACGAGCGGCGCTTGACATGCGAGCGCCTGTTTCCCGGAGATTATATGAGGCGTGGTGCCAATCAAAGACATTGTGCGCTGGCTAAATGTGTTTCTGGAATACAAAAAGCCTCGGTGCGATTTACAACATATAGAAGCCATGTTGACGTCGCTGAACAGCGAAGTGTGCAGTGAAACAAATAAGACTATTCAATAGCAAATTATTAAACCTGTTTTACGCTAAAGCTTGTAGTTCGGTGGTATATCATGCCTGTGCTGGGAGGAGGATGACTGTGGGACAGAGCTTGTGTGTCAAATAATTCCTTCATGCCGGGACAGCCGTGTTAAGTTTTTAACACCTGACACTGACGTCCCCTCTCCCTCCCTGCACTATTGAAAGCAATTACTGCTGACGGCTTGTAGCCGAATGTAATTATGGCTTTCAAGAAATAATGAGTGCTCAGGAGCAGCGCGTTGGCTTGGAACAATAGTAGCAAGGTAGAACTACATGTTTACACGAAGCTCACGGTCATCAAAGCATTGTATTGACGTTTCACATCCAAACATGAATAATTCAAAGGATAATGGATAAGGTAGCTTCCCCGTTTTGACCAGAGTGCATCGGTCCAATTTGGTTTCTGCTTTCAGTGCTGACATTCACATCCTCGACTCGTGATTTACTTACAGACTAGACTGCCTTCCTGACATGGTCATTCATGGTTTACTTCAGACAGTGATCTCATACTATGAGATCACTGTGATCGCTCAGTTGTCCCCAACCTTATTTGTGTTACGGAGCGGTTGAGGCAAGTACATGCTGTTCGTGGTCCGGCAACCATTTCTTTCCCCCGTTGCTTTTAAATTGCCAGTTTTAAAGCACTGCTACCGACAACAACGATAATTATTCAACATTAGTAGCAATTCAAGAGTTTATTCATTCCTTTCAAACAGTGTTATTCTCCTGCACAACAAATGAAGAATAAAATAAAACAGTGAATTACTAAGAAATGGACCAATTAGGAATTATTGACCTTGTAATGTAACAATCAGTTTGAAGTTACAATCCTACATACGACGTGAGCATCGTTGCGACATGCAATTGGGATTGTTCAAAAGATGACACAATTGAGTGCTTCTTTCATCCAGTGGCTGCTCATTTTTGGGGAGCTGTCCTCGTGGATAATTCTGAGTGAGGCATTCAGTGCCTGCGTAGTCTTTACAGGTTCCCTGTGTGTTGTCTTCCAGAGCAAACCGTACATGTTCGACCGAGTCTTTCAGTCCAGCACGAGTCAAGAGCAAGTGTACAATGCCTGCGCCCAAAAGATTGTGAAAGGTAAGCCACAAATAATAAAACATACAAAGAAGTAGGTCTAAAAACAATGCGTTGTGTTGTTTTGTAGATGTTCTTGAGGGATACAACGGAACGATTTTTGCATACGGCCAGACGTCCTCTGGGAAAACCCACACCATGGAGGTGCGCGTCAAAGAAACAAGTGTATAAATAAACTTCCGCATTTTTTTTCTGCTGTTAACTTGTGCTGTATCCTCAGGGGAATCTCCACGACACAGACTCTATGGGAATCATCCCCAGGATAGTGCAAGACATCTTCAACTACATCTACTCCATGGACGAGAACCTGGAGTTTCATATCAAAGCAAGTTACCAGACCAGCTACTTGGATGCTGGCTGATATGAGGTTTATACTCATTATCTTCTTCTCTTTGCAGGTTTCCTATTTTGAAATTTACTTAGATAAGATCCGGGACCTGTTGGATGGTAAGTAGGGCAGACTTTGCAGACAATTCCACTCCGGCTTTCTTATTTTTTTCCATGTGATTGCAAAGCGAAGCACACACAAAATGAAAGGCACAGTCGGATATTTGTGAGCGCATCCCTCACATGCCTCAAAAGTCTTCTGTCATCATCAGAGATGGTGCATCCCCTAAAAAAGGGCATTTTAAAAAAGCATTTGTTTATGACGATAACAGGATCAAAACCTGAGCCACACACACACCCTTGACATGCCGACAGACAGGCGCGCACACACATCCCAAATTTATTTTCGATTTTAAAAAATATAGCATCACTTTCTACTCTGGTATCTGTGACTTTGGAGTGCGTATGGCTTTTAAAGGCAGGCCCTGGCCTAGTGAGTGACGTGGGTGTCCGTAAATGAGTGTCGAGTTGGCTGGCTCCTAATCCAATCATCCCTACGAAGCTTCGATGCAGAGATTTTGCCTTGAATTTTTTTGTAATCCAGTTATTTGAGTTATTCAAATTATGGTTGCGGCCCTACAGTGCACCCTCCTCTCCACACTCCCTTAGAAAGTAACTTACCAAAAAAATTAAATACCCATTCGTAAGCCAACATGACCAAAACGTGGGACAAAATGATTTTGAAAATGAGCTGCCAAAAGCTTGTTAAAGTTGTTTTTGACTGACTTTTTTTCCAGTGTCAAAGACCAATCTGTCAGTGCACGAAGACAAAAACAGAGTACCTTATGTGAAGGTGAGACACACCACACCAGTTGCTAAACTCGCCAAGAGCATGCAACTAATCGCACATGGTCTTGTGTCCTCAGGGTTGCACCGAGCGCTTTGTATGCAGTCCGGACGAGGTCATGGACACCATCGACGAAGGCAAATCCAACAGACACGTAGCAGTCACAAGTAAGATATCATGTCCTCTACCACATAAACTGCATGTTTGAGGCGCTGAGACTGAACCGGACGTTTCTCCTCCCCAGACATGAACGAGCACAGCTCCAGGAGTCACAGCATCTTCCTGATCAACGTCAAGCAGGAGAACACCCAAACGGAGCAGAAGCTTAGCGGGAAACTCTACCTGGTTGATCTGGCCGGTAGCGAAAAGGTGTGCGGCGCAGCTAGCCCAAGTGAGCCTAGAGCGACTCCAGTGTTGGCGTGTTTGGCTAATGCGAGTTTATCATCAGGTCAGCAAAACAGGAGCGGAGGGAGCTGTGCTGGACGAAGCCAAGAATATCAACAAGTCGCTGTCATCCCTGGGGAACGTCATCTCAGCTCTGGCTGAGGGAACGGTATGTACCTTCATTTCATAGCCATTGATAAGATAGATGTCATAACTGTAACATGGGTATTTCCTAGCCCAAGTTGAGCTATTTAGTAGACACCTGCTATATGCATGGTAAGAAGTGCTGGGCCCGAAAGTGGCAAAAATCTGCAATTAATTGATGCTCATTGTTATCGAGGCAAAAGCTATTTTACAATAGATTTTATGGCAAAATACATTTTAGCTGATAAATTGATTCTAAAAATACTCAATAGTGACAGCACTGCTCTCCAGGAGTCACAAAGAATTTAATTTCAGATGACCTTATTATTGGAAACGCAATTACTTGATATCCCTTTAAGTAATACAATTTCAAAAGCAATTGGATTATGCCTGCAAGTTAGTGAGATTTATTTGGAGTTTCTGTTGTAAATTGATATTTATTTAATCAAGGTTGTCGCATTTTTTTAAACTAGCAGTATTCTACACCCCCTCATTTAGGCTTTAAAAATAACCAAAACACTCCTCCAAGCAATCGGTTTCCTTTCGTTTCACCTTTCCACTTTGATCAGTGTTTGTTTGTGACACTTGTTGTTCACGTCCGCAGGTTACTCCGTCAGTCATCGTACAAACGAGTGTGGTGTGTTATCGGTTGAACACGAATAATGCCTTTCAACCACCAGATCATATAACATGTCAACACACACGGAAGCCAATGGGAAATGTGATGCTTCACTTTACTTTTGTGCACCTCAGCAGCATAGGTAGTCTTCGCTGTCCTTCACCTCTTCCTGACCCTGCAGCTGTCCTGCTGCATAAGCAAATATGAGATAATTGGCAGAGTAAATAGATCTACTGCCCCCTGACACACATTAGCATTAAAAAAAAAGATTATTTCAGAAATTGTCTCTTTTGTTCTGAGATGAAATGATTTATACACACAATATGAAGCACAGAAGTGAATATTGTGCATCCAGAGGTTAACACCAAGGTTGGCCGCAAATCCAACTTTGCCATTGAGATCAATTATATTTGGATTAATTTGTACCAGAGGCCAAACTTTTGCATTCATAAAAGCATTGACTACACAAGCAATGTTACAATTAACATATTAAAGTTCTTAACAGGGGTTTCCCTTGCTCAAATTGAGTCCTTGGTCTTGGGTCTTATTTCTTTTTTTGCCTTACCATTTTTGTTGTTGCAAAGAAGCAAATAAAACAAAGGTGAACCACTCTAAATGTTAATGATGGACGAGGTAACATTTTTTAAATAAAATGCGTATAAAAGTAAATCTTTTTTATGTAAAATTTTACATGACCCAAGTGACAAAGCATATGATGGCTAGCAAAGTTAGCCTTGCAGTGAATCCATTTATTAAACTTGTTCTATTGACATGTGCTTTTTATCAAGGCATACATCCCATACCGAGACAGCAAGATGACACGTATCCTTCAGGATTCACTGGGCGGCAATTGTCGCACCACCATCGTCATCTGCTGCTCACCCTCTTCCTACAACGAGGCTGAAACCAAATCAACCCTCATGTTCGGACAAAGGTACGCAGGAAAAAAAAAGCCAACTAAAAATTGCCTTGAAAATGAATCATTTCTAAATGGAAATTGATTTTGTCTGTTTCCCCTGTACAGAGCAAAGACCATCAAGAACACAGTGACTGTGAACGTTGAGCTGACAGCAGAACAATGGAAGCAGAAATACGAGCGTGAGAAGGAAAAGAACAAGACCCTGAGGAACACCGTCACTTGGCTGGAGAATGAGCTCAATCGCTGGAGAAATGGTGAGATGAATGGAACGTGATGATTTCTCAATCATTATGAGTTCATCTCCTTAAATCATTACAGTCATTACCCCCGAGAGTGTGCTAACATCTCTAAATTTACATGTCCAAGGCGAGAGCGTGCCGGTAGAGGAGCAGTTCGACAAGGAGAAGGCCAATGCTGAGGTTTTGGCCCTTGACAACATCCTCAACGACAAGTCGGCGTCCACGCCCAACGTGCCTGGCGTGCGCCTCACTGACGTGGAGAAGGACAAGTGCGAGGCGGAGCTGTCCAAGCTCTATAAGCAACTGGACGACAAGGTAAAGAGCTTAAATGTGTGCATTTAAAAACCTGGGATATCTTATCACCCATCCTGTCCCAAAAAATCTAAACCCTACTTTGCATGTAGCTACGTTAATGTTGACGCCGTAAACCAGCTTTTCCATAACATTTGGGACACTACCTACCCCCGTTATAAAATGTCAATAGCCTGCGCACTATAATGGTATGTTTTTGTTTGTTGGGTACAATTTAGGTTTGAAATGTTCTTTTTTTTTTTAACCTTTTTATTCAAATCAGACTTGGGTGTGTGTAATTATTAGACCATACCACCATTGCACTTGCTGTGTGTATCTAGATCGTGAGCTGCCACGTCTTGGCTCGCGGCGCTTGAATGAAAGCCCTACCTTGGTCCTTTCTATTGCATTGAAGAGTACCCACTGCACATGAAAAACTTTTAATGAGCGTTAATGGGTCAAGAATTGTGTGCCTCAAACCAGAAATACATCAGGGAATCAGAAAACAAAATCACGTATCGTCAAGCACACAGAATTGATCTTGCTCATTTCAAAATATTTTTTTAAATGTAATTTTTCATCTCCACGGAAAGTAATGTGATGCCCACTTTCAGTGATAGGGCAGTGCCCTCTATTGACCAACTGCCACCGAATAACTGAAATACTTGTTCTACAGTATGAATTTCTCAGCTGTCTCGCACTGCACACCTCGGCCGCAGTGCCAATGCCGTGCCACGAATACTAATGCCATGACACGTCTGTTTCTGTGCAGGATGAAGAGATCAACCAGCAGAGCCAGCTGGCTGAGAAGCTGAAGCAGCAGATGCTGGACCAGGAGGAGGTCAGTCCTAAATTTCCAAGCTGTTTTTTTTTTTCTCCCGTCTTGCCATCTTACGCCCAACTTTTTTAAAAAACTCAACTATATCTTCGGCCAGCTGCTGGTATCCTCACGCCGCGATCATGAGAACCTCCAGGCTGAGCTCAACCGCCTGCAGGCTGAAAATGAAGCCTCTAAGGAGGAGGTGAAGGAGGTGTTGCAGGCCCTGGAAGAACTGGCTGTCAACTACGACCAGAAGAGCCAGGAGGTGGAGGACAAGACCAAGGAGTTTGAAGTTATCAGCGAGGAGCTCAGCCAGAAATCGGTGAGGGGGGGGATACCTGAAAACATGAACTCGACCACTTTAACCTTGAAAGGAGGCATATTTAGCATTTTTGTTTACAGTTTAAACAGGTCCGAGGTGTAATTTCTATGCAAAAAAAAAAAAATTCTTGCAAACGGTTGATTTATTCATCCATCTATACTCACATAAGCAGACGCACAGTCAGAAATTAAGCGGCCAAGATTTGCATTGCATTATCATTGGTGCATGCAGCATTTCAGCACCGAGCCACCCGATTAAACTTGTCAATTAGTTTAGCAATGTGGCACATGAAATGACCAGACATGACATGTTTTATGACGTGGTACTTGACTTGATTCTTGATTTGATACTTCACTTTTTGAGTTATTCTGTTCTTTTTTTCACCTGTTTCTTGACAGGATTCTTGACTTGTTTTTTGGTGTGGCAGATAATTGTTTTTTGTCTAGGTTCTTAATTGATCCTTGACTGTTTTTGGGTTGGATTCTGTATTTGATTTGGTTTTTAAACATGGTACTTGGGTGGTTCCCGATTTGGCTTTTGGCGAGGTTCTTGGCATGGCTTTTGATTGTTATTTGACGTGGTTTTTGACATAGTTCTTGAGTTTTATTTTTATTTTGTTGTTGGTTGTGGAATGTTTTTTGGCTTAATTTTGTATTTTATTGATTTATTTTTTGACAAGGTCCTTTTGTTTTTGATTATGTTCTTGATTTCATAAATGGGCAGATAACAAAGTTTACTTGGCTGTGTAATTTCACACTTAATGGCTGTACAGGCATTACACAGACACACAAATAAATATTTGTACCCAAACATAAAAGGTACATTTTCCACAAGATGTCACTTTTAACCGAGGAGCCCCAGAGTTGTCAGTGAAGTCTTTGTCATCTTCTCTGCAGTCCATCCTGTCATCGTTGGACTCCGAGCTGCAGAAGCTGAAGGAGATGTCCAACCACCAAAAGAAGAGGGTGACGGAGATGATGTCATCACTTCTCAAAGACTTGGCTGAAATCGGCATCGCTGTGGGCAGCAATGACATCAAGGTGAGGACCAGCGGGAGAGACAAAATGTCAATCTTTGTGGGTCTTCCCACTTCATCGGATTCCCTCTTGTCTGTAGCAGCATGAGAGCGGCAGCGGTCTGATCGACGAGGAGTTCACTGTGGCCCGTCTTTACATCAGCAAGATGAAGTCGGAGGTGAAGAGCATGGTGAAGCGCTGCAAGCAGCTGGAGGGCACCCAGTCGGAGAGCAACAAGAAGATCGACGAGAACGAGAAAGAGCTGGCCGCCTGCCAGCTGCGAATCTCGCAGGCACGTACCCCCTCCGCCAGCCACTCGACGCGAGAACCTCATCAAATAACTCAATTTTCCTCGTTTTGCAGCATGAGGCAAAGATCAAGTCCCTGACGGAGTACCTGCAGAATGTGGAGCACAAGAAGAGGCAGCTGGAGGAGAATGTAGACTCGCTCAACGAGGAGCTGGTCAAGATCAGCGCTCAGGGTATGTCCGGTCACACCACAGAACCGTGCTACAGTCGAAACCGCTGAGAAGTTTGAAATAATTGAAGCTTGATGCACCATTTCAAAGCATTCTAGGAAGAGGAAGTCAAACAAAACCTTGTCCGTCAACTATTGAAAGCATATCGCTGCACTATGATAGAAGGAATCCTGAGATTAATTACACAGCCATGCAGCTTTTTTTTTTCTGAATCTCTGTGTATAAAAAGACTCAAGCTTCTGCAGAAAGGCAAAAAATAGAAGAAACGTGAACTCATAACACATCACAAATTATTTAAAAGTAATTACTAATGTCAATCACATGTCAAGGAGATGCCGGCTATTCAGGTTTCTTGTCGTAGTGATATATCTGCTCTTGTGTTTTGCAGAGAAAGTCCATGCCATGGAAAAGGAGAATGAGATACAGACAGCGAATGAAGTCAAGGTGTGTGACTCAGCTCTTGTCAATCATCTGCGATCTCTCCAATTACCCCCCTTGCCCCCCCCAAACGTAACATTTGTTGTGTCACAGGAAGCCGTGGAGAAACAGATCCACTCTCACCGCGAGGCTCACCAGAAACAGATCAGCAGCCTGAGGGACGAGCTGGACAACAAGGAGAAGCTCATTACAGAGCTGCAGGAGTAAGACAGCCCCACGCCATCGCTAAGCCTCCTTTAGGAGATACGGTACTTTTTCATAATGTCATATTTTCCAGCCTGAACCAGAAGATCATGCTGGAACAGGAGAGGCTACGAGTGGAGCACGAGAAGCTCAAGTCCACCGACCAGGACAAGAGCCGCAAGCTGCACGAGCTCACGTATGGCCCGGTTTTAGTTGACTGTAAAACTGACAAAATACAACCAACAAAGAGAATTAAATAAAATCACTACCAGCTGTTTTGAGGCATATATCGTCATGTTGCCAGCTATCATATGGCATTTTGACCACACAATGTTGTGTTCTGTGACAATATAAGCACCAGACTTACCAAAAGAACGAGTAGGCTCTCCTCTTTGACCAGAAAAAAAAAATAAAATTCTCGCTTTTTAGAATGCGAGAGGCAAGTTACTTTACATTTTATATGACTGATATTGAACAAAAATTGAGAAGCATTAACACTGTCCGTTATCCTCTGTCCATCCAGGGTAATGCAGGACAGGCGGGAGCAGGCCAGGCAGGACCTGAAGGGTCTGGAGGAGACAGTGGTGAGTTCTTATTCATAGCCCGTCTCACTTTTTTCAAAGGCATCGATCCTTCCTCATGTTTTCTTTTCCCACTTGTCCTTCAAGGCAAAGGAGCTGCAGACTCTGCACAACCTGAGGAAGCTCTTTGTCCAGGACTTAGCCACACGTGTAAAAAAGGTGAAACAAATACTGAGTCTATGCGAACAGGATATCTGCCACTATGTTAGCATTTGAGTAGAAATAGTACCCAAGTACAGAGCGTGTTATAAAATCCTTTATGGTCTGCATCTCATTTCCATTCTGTACTCTCTTACTGTGTAGTGCCCAAGGAAAGGTCAAAATGTAAAATTCGTGATCTGCCACACAGATTTCTGTCCCCTAGTTCCTGTTTAGCATACCCACTCTCGGGATGTTAGTATTTTATTGACTGTTTGAAAACCCACTTTGCTAGAACTATATGATATCAAATCCTTTTTAGTCTGTTTTTTTTTGTACAGGATTCTGCCTGCTACAATGTTAGCATTTGAAATGGTACCCAACCACAAGGCATAAAGTAAATTCCATATGGATCTGTCGCAGTGCCTTTTGTACTCCAGTTCCAGTCTTGCAATATGTTAGCATAACAATGTTAGCATAACAATGTTAGCGTTATGGGCCATTCTGCATGTTAGCATGCTGGGGCACTTAGCATCCTTATCTACCCACAGAAAATATGAACACAGACCAAGTCAGCCAAAAGACGGTGACACGAGAATGGCTCTGTTGCTCAATCCCACCTTCCGTGTTTGCATGCCAATGCTAACACTGTTGTTTTTTTTGTGCAGAGTGCCGAGATGGACTCAGACGACACTGGGGGCAGCGCGGCTCAGAAGCAAAAAATATCCTTTCTTGAGAACAATCTTGAGCAGCTCACCAAGGTTCACAAACAGGTAGGAGGTTTGAAATGTCACGTCCACCGTCCACTCAAGCACAGTAGCATAATTTAGCTATGGTTGTCTTTTTCGCTGCCAGCTTGTGCGTGACAATGCAGATCTTCGATGTGAGCTTCCGAAACTGGAGAAGCGCCTTCGTGCTACGGCTGAGCGGGTCAAAGCGCTGGAGTCTGCACTGAAGGAGGCAAAGGAAAACGCCGCCCGCGACCGCAAGCGCTACCAGCAGGAGGTGGACCGCATCAAAGAGGCTGTCAGGGCCAAGAACATGGCCAGGCGGGGACACTCCGCGCAGATTGGTCAGTGGGAAAATGCAATCTTTCAACAAGCGCAGCCAAGCAAAAACAATTTTGTCAAATATTTGCATAAAATGGATTCCTTTTTTGGAAAAGCCCTCAAAATATTAGTGTAATGAAAGAAGACAGAGCAAAAAAATTCTATTCAATATTAATAGTAGTTTTTTAAAAAAGCAGAACAAGCCCCAAAATATAATTTAAAAAACAACATAGGATGTAAATCAAAGTGCAAAAAAAATAGTAGTGATATGTACATAAACTTCAAAATGCTTTAGCGAGCAAAAAGCCCCAAAATTATTTGTGTCATTAAACAAATGGATTTTAAAAGGATAATTAAAAGTACTCTCTTAAAAAACAAAAACAATAAGATTCAAAATAAAATGTTACCGTGGTAATATTAAATAAGTATATGAAAAATAAAGTCCAACTTAATCATCAAGTGCTGAATGAATAATCATTTTACTATTAAAATGTAAGCTTCAAAGTTTCCACAAGTGCAAAAGAAAGTATGCAAAAAAATGTTTCAAATAGTTACAATTTAAGATGGACCTCAAAATGGAGACTCGTTAACCAGCCTTTTTTTTTTTTAATTAAATATACTGGACTGATAAAATGGCACATGAGTGATAGTTCCTGAATTTTTTGCTTAAATTGTATATACCACCCAATCTAACCATTTCTTGGTTGTTGTCGTCTTCCTCTCGCACCGTCGCAGCTAAGCCCATCCGACCTGGACAACAGCCGGTGGCGTCCCCCACCCACCCCAACATCAATCGCAGTGGGGGAGGTTTCTACCAGAACAGCCAGACAGTGTCCATCAGGGGCGGCAGCTCCGCCTCTACCAAGACGGACAAGAAGTACGTCTACTGATGTCTATTCAAATTGTGCAGCAGTCACTAGCAGGGCTATAATAGTTTGGGAGTTTTCATGATGGTTTGTATTTTGTTTTGAGTTTAGTTTTTAAAATTGAGTTTGTTCTTATTAGCTCTTTAAGTATATTTGTTAGTTTTTATTGACTTAGAGGGTTTTTTTTTCCCCCCAGCGTCGTAAGTGATGCTGATATCATCCATATTGGTGTATTCATTCCTCTTGTCTTCCTTCCTGTGTTTAGCTGAAACAAGCAAGACGACGGACGACACCACAGAAGAAGCCAATATCATCCGACTCCTGTCCCCTCCCTCTGCGCCCACTAGCGGCCCATGTTGGCCCATCATTCCATTACTGCTTCCCAGCCACCCAGGAGTGAGTGTGCGGATTATAAATATATATAAATATTCTCGGCTGTATAGCTCTGACCCGCTTACATCCCCGTCACCACAAAAACAAAAAGATGACAGATTGAGTTTACAACACAAGCTACTTAAAAAAAAAAAAAAAAAAATTATGAATAACATCGATATCCAAACAACCAGTCTTGAACAGCCGCAGCAGCCTTGGCCAGCAAAAACTGCACGCGACTTGAATGTGTAGCTTTCCTTTTTTCCTTTTTTTCTAGTTTAAATTTATTTTATTTTTATTTTTTTGTGGCACACGTCTGTCATCGTGGTCGTCGTGTGAGTAGTTGAGTTGTGCACTGCTGCCCCCCCATGCCCCCAAGCTGAATGTAACACTAATGTAAGAAATAATAAAAGGTAAAAAAAAACAAAAAGGAGAGATCCTATGGCCAGCCAGACATAGCTTTGTAGGCAAAAGTCAACGCTGTACATTGTACAATTACACATTAGCCGCACACCCGTTTGTCAACGTAGATTTTTTTTCAGGATGACATCATCAATATAACATATAAATATAGATACTGTATATACTTATCCAAGGTGGGCGGAATGGATGGTAGACACTTCAAAAGGGTTTCATCTTTTTACATTTACAGCTTTTCCATCCTGACCTCCTTTCCTTCCCCTGCTGAACATACTTTTCTGCCTTTCATCCTTGCTTCCTTTTAGTCTTCCTTTTCTAGCATCCATCCATCCTTCCTTACATCCATGTTTCCCTCGTTTTATCATCTTGCCTTCATCCCATCCATTCCTCCCTGCCTGCCTTCATACCTACCTCCCTCCCTACCTACCTACCTAACTCACTACCTCCTTCCCACCCTCCTTACCTACATTTCCACCTTCCTCTTTTTCATACTATCCATCCTCCCTCTCTTCCTTCCCGATCCCTTCTTTCCTATATCCATCACCTCACTGCCATCCTTTGTCCATTTCTTATTTTCTTCCTCCCTTCCTCCGCCTCATCCTTTCTCCTGCCTCACCTGGCTCCTTTGATAAATTGTTTTCTTTCTTTGCGAAAGCCTCCTCCCTCCAATAAGGGAGTTGAAAGTGAGAGTGTCTGCCTCCTGTTGTTCCCGTCACATATCTCAAATTCAAATCAAAAGTTGTCAGCTCGCAGCTTGACATCCTCCTCACTCTTGTCGTGCATCTTTTACCTTGTACAGAAATTGTCCAAATTTGTCAGCACGCCGCTCACTTCCTGCTCACGTGACCGTAGAGGAGGGGGGAAATAAACAAACAAAAAAAAAAAAAGCCAAGGCGTGCAAGCGTGTACTGTAGATGTATTTAACTGGACATCTGTGGAGGCCAATTGTTTTTTATGGTTAACTTAAAGCTGTATACTTGTTGTGTCACAAAGGAAAGGAAAAGGAACGGACGCCGATGATCCAGTCCACGCTTTTTAAGGCCCGCTAAGGCTTAATCTGTAAAGCTACGTGTGTTTTTACCCATCATGACGACTATTTATAGCCACCGTGGCCGTTTTGTGCGTCTTATGTGCTCCTTTTGACTGCTTTGGATGTGTCCGATGGTCCTCATGTGCTTATGAGAGGGGACAGCTGCTAATGCGACGCTCAGCAAAAAGCAGCATCTAAACACAAGTCATCACAAAGGTTTATTTAATAAATTCAAAAGTAAGGGTTTTCTTTCTTTTTTTAATTCACATTGTTTTTGGGTTATGTTGTTCCCCCTCTTTCTTTCCCGAGTGAAGCCCCAGTGCGTTGTTACAGAGGACAATTAAGCTCACGCAAAAAGGATAACATTAAATAAATGCATACAATTAAAGTTGTAATTTTTTTGAGAATAAAGACCTATTTAAATTACATCTTCAAGGGAAAAGTTTTTTTTTTCCAAAGAAAGGTGATTTTTCAAGTCTGATCTTTTTTTTTTCCGAAAAATTGTCGTTGTATCAAAGTCATTATTGTTTAGGAGAAATGTCTTCTTTTTCGAGGGAAAAAATGGCATTGGAAGAACAAATGTCAGATTTTCCCAAGAAAAAAATGTCAGCCTTGTCAGACAATTAGTTGCATTTTTTTCCAAGAATAAAACTCAAGATTTTTCTGAGAGTAAAAGTACAATTTTTTTCTGGAATAAATGTTAAGAAAATAAATTGGATGTTTCGGCGTATAATTGGCTTTTTTTTTCTGAGACTAAACTTAAAATTTAGTCTTTTTTTTTTTTTTTGTCTACAATTATTTTAACCTTTTTCCACCTTAAAAATACATCTGTAAGAACATGATTTTTTTCCCCCCAACTGAAAATATGACTGGAACAAAATCCTTAGAAATAAAACTTTCTCAAATTTTTTTTCAATTTTTGAAATAGTTTTCTTTGAAAATATTTTTTTTGTTCTTGAAAGTGTATGACATTCCTGAGGATTTTTTTTTTGTTTTTAAAGTATTGACTTTCTGAAAAAAATAACTTGATAAAATACGACTAATTTGAAAAAAATATCACCGCCTTTGCAAAACAGGAGTATATCGAAATGTGACTATTTCTCAAAAATGATACCTTTTCTCACGTTCCTTGTCACCTTTTTTTTTTTTTTTTTGTCTTTCGGGTGTGGCCCTAATATTCCTTAAGTGCTTTGTAATCACAGCATGAGGACGCTAACACCATGTGCAAGTGCAATATATACTGTAAGATACACTGTACATCACACCAACACCATGTAATATTTACCATACAAAAAAAAAACAGGATCCACTTATTTAAAGATGAAAATATTTCAACATGGACTTAACATACATGTACAGCGAGCATTTAGCATCTAGCATTGAAAGCACTCCCATCTGTTTAGATTGGATTCTAGTGTCCCCTCCATCGCGTATGTGACAGGACAGTGTATGTCTACAGGCGCTTTGCCATAATGTTCACCGATGAATCAAATAGACGAGCATGACCTCCAAATGTTTCTTCTGTCTTTCACTTCCCACCAAAAACTGGATATGAAATGGAAATTAAGTTTAAAAAGTAAATAAATGACAACAAATAAAGAATATCTGTGGCCGCCATTGAACTTCATTAGAAATTAAAGGTAAAAAAAAAAACACTTGCCACTTTTTTTTTTATTACTGTGTAATAGTTAGTCCATTTTTCAAGGGTTGGTTTTTTTGGTTTTTTTTTGGTGGGGTGAGGGGGAACGCGATGAGTGGACAAAAGGTACTGGATCATTCCTGGCTAACTGGGACACAAAGTTGGAGTTTTGACAAGGATGCAGATGAGATCACCTTTTTTTTTGTTTGTTTTTTTGGATTGACTGCATGATGTAAATGTATGTGTGATTAAATAATTATCAGTAAACAAATTCAGCTCTTGTCTCTGGGCTTCTTTGGACATTTATACACGTTAAATTTTTTTTTTCTTTTTTTGGTAAGTGTCCGTTTTAAAGGTGAGATTTTTTTTCATGTCTTTTTTACTCTCCTGCTGTTGTAATTGGTTCATTCTGTCAATTTTGAAGCCGATGAGCAACGTTAATTATAGTCATCCTAATAAGTTTATATTTTCTAATTAGGATGTATTTTGTATTACATTTTTCCCTTTATGTATACAGTACTATTTATTTTTTGATTTTGGTAGTCAATTTAAATCCATGTTTAGATTTTTTTTTATTACGTCTTTTCTTAAACCCTGGTTTTGTTTTATTAGTAAACGTGTAAATTAAGTAATTTTAATTTTTTTGGTTTTGGCTTGTCATTTTCTAAGCCTATATAAATACATTACAGTAATGGGGCTTTTTGTGTGGTGTGTGGTCCTTTGACAAAAAAAAAAAAGTCAATTTTTAAGGCCGAAAGTATAAGTTTATTTTGATACATTTGGTGACAGTGTCAATTTTGAAGCCCAATTATTTTGTATTTTAGCTCAATTTCACAAAAATGGTGTTATACTAATTAAAATTTTCTAATAATTAAAAAAATAAAATATAACTTATTTATATACAGGTTGTCCATAAAATTTGCGTATATAGTTAAAAAAAGACTTATTAAAACAAGTTTTGAAACAATATTTTCAAAATCCATCCATCATCTGATCCGTTTATTGTCACAAGGGTTTCGGGGTGTGCTGGAGTCTATCCCAGCTGTCTGAGCAGTATGTGGGGGACACCCTGAACAGGTTGCCAGCCAATAGCAGGGCACACATAGACAAACAACCATCCGCACTCACACTCACACCTCGGGACAATTCAGAGTGATCCATTAAGCCGCCGTACATGTTTTTGGAATGTGGGAGGAAACCAGAGTACCCGGAGAAGGCCCGGGGAGAACATAGAAACACCGGAGCTGGAATTGAACCCGATACTTCTACACTGTGAGGTCGACGTGCTAACCACTCGATACCGGGCCGCCCCTATTTTCAACATGATTTCTATTATTTTAATGCATATGCAAAATCCAGTTGAATTCGATGGAATAGGTTTACCTTGCCGTCGATTTCAGCGCATTGACTGGTAATCGGTTCTGATGTGGTTTTTAATCATCGAGCACACTTTGGATAAGTATACCTAAAAAAAGAAGGGGGAAAAGGTCGGGAGAACGAGAGGACCACTCCAATCTCCTTTGTACCCAGACTTAATGGAAACGCTGTATATTTTAAGGGGTTCGTCCATTCGCTACGGAAGCATATTTAATTGGCATTATTGGTTTTGATCGGGTCTACAACCCGTGATGTTGTTGTAGTTCCACGTATTAATGCCTAGGGGGCGCTACCATTTTGGTGACGTAGAAACACCTGAGGCGCACGAACCAAACGTAACACAAATCTGAGATCTTACTCCATAGGTAGGTTAATCAGGAAAGTATGTGAATTAACTTTTGGTCGGTACGCTTCTTAAACAAAAACAACCAAATTGAAAATAAAATGAGTCAATTTCAAACTTAACTTTAGCCCGCCGGTTTTCCCGTGTGGAACCGTGACGTCAACGAACATCGGATTGCTCGTCGGAGTGGCACGAATCACCTCTCGAGACAATCTTGGGCTGGGGAAGGTGGCGAGTAGTTGAGCAACTTTGAGCGGACAGGAAGTGACTGCTTTTCGGCGTCAAGCCTTGACAGGTGGACGGCTTGTTCTTCAGCCACACACGCTGACCTGGCTGAAGTTGACCGGGATTTACGCACCACTACAAACCAACCACCCAGTCATGACCACCGGGATGTGTTTGCCTTGAGGTAAGTGACTTTGACATGACACTTTTTTCCCCTCTCCGCTCTAGGACGTCCAGGTAGCCGCCATGCTAATTACTCAGCGAACCTATTTTGAAAATACGTATTACGGCGTTTTATCAACCTGTTACGTGTCATTTTGACGTGACAATTTTTTTTTAGAAATTACTGTGTTTTTTCCAAGAGCCGCACGCAGCGTAAAAGTGTCAGGAGAAAAAGATCCTGGTGGCGGAAAAAGTTGGCTGGAATGTTTCAGGAAGTGTCACAATCCCATCGGGAATTCGCTTGTAGGTTCGTTTGCAGGGCTGGGTTGTTTGAAAAAAAAGTTTGTTTTCATAATCAAATCCATTCGTCTATTTTCTGGAGCGCTTCCCCTCATCATGGTCGCAGGTGAGCTGGGGGAATTTGTCTTTAGATTTATGTGGAGTACACCTGGGTCAGAAAATGACTTAATTCGTGTTTTTGGTTAATCCTGTGGGCAATTCTGACAGAATATATTCACTGGACACTGGAATCACTGCCGAACATGTCTGTATGTTGGACGTTTTTTTTTTTAAATATTTTATTTAGTTATTTTTGGCGATCTATTTGTTAGGGACAGAGAGTAAAAAAGTCCAGACAAATTTTAACACGGCAGTCTGATGTGTGCATCGCAGTGCATAGCAAAAAAAACCAGTTAAACTACAAGTACCTATGAAAAGAGTTATATTTACACAACAGCAATATTTACACTATGCAGTAAAAAGGATCGATTCAAAAAAGTTGATCACGATGGAAGGCTTGGTATTATTTTTTTGCTGTTTTTGTTTTTGTTATTATTCTTCCTTTCTTTCCTGATTTTTTGTTTGCTTTTACACTGTGATGTAGATACCACAGGGTCTGAAATAGGGCTGCACAATATAGATGTAAAAATATACAGTAATTGCAATCACGGCGTGTGCAAAATGCGTATCACAAAGATTAATACTTTAATATGGAATTGTATGCATTTGTCTGATGAGATGGAAACTTAAATGTGCACCGCCAACCAGGACAGCAATATCTCGGCTCAATGCGAAATACAAAGTAATGAATATACACCATATACAGATTATATAATACGCTAAGTCTGCTTATTTTGCCGGATAAAAAATGTATTTATTTCATTCATTTATAATATAAATGTTTTTCTAAGTACCTGTTGAATATTGCAGTCATATCGCATGTTTTTCCAATATTGTGCAGCCATTGATCATAGTAATAATTTCCTTCGGAGGGCCGTTATGACTGTGAACCCAAATAAATGTATAATGGACTCATATTACAACAAATTGTTGAATAACTAGTTTTGAAATCAGAGGCAAGTAAAAACTGTTGGCTTGAATATATATTTATTTTAAAAGGAGATTGGTAACAAAATTGCTTGCAGGATCTCTACCTTTTTAAAATTGAAAACAATTAGCAATGTTGGTAATTTAGCAAGAAACACAAAGTCTATGCACATAATTCGCTTTTGCTTGACACATAAAATTACCTATACTCTCAGCAATCAAATATCCACCTTATTCTGAGGCCCCATGAGCCTTTGATTGAATTACCGGCGCAACTGAACCGGAGTTTTGTTTCCATGTTGTTTGCGCAAGTCCACTTTCTATGACAGTTGAAAACTTTTAGCAATCGGGGAAACACCAGTTATTGCATCTTAGAAGCAAAAACAAAACAAACATCAATTGACTGGTCTCATTCATTGATGCTAATTTAGTGTCCAGAGTCAAATATTTATGAATAAAGAGTTCTCTTTGAATTCCTCTGTGTGTGTGTGTGTGTGTGTGTGTGTGTGTGTGTGTGTGTGTGTGTGTGTGTGTGTGGGTGCGCGCGCGGCGTGCGCGCGCATGTACGTTATGTCCCTGTGACTGTTGCTGAATATGTCCTTGCCTCACCTGAAAACCATTTTGTGTTTGTGACTTGCTGAATATGTGCTTGCCTCACCTGAAAACCATTTTGTGTTTGTGACTTAAGCAGGAAACAATGCGAGCAATCGCACAAATGAGCAGTGACTTGTCCGTGTCACGAGCGTAGCTGGTGTGGCAGCGTGCGAGTCACGTTATTAGCATTAGCGTTCGCGTCTAATCTCCCATCCCCACGAGGCATCTGCTTTCCAAGAGGATTTACGCGTCGTCTTCTTCACTTCATCTCATCAGGTTACAACCATAGAGGAAGGCTAAGACACACTGGCTCTTTGTGTCTGCTGTGTTGTTGTTGTTGTTGTTGTGTAACGCACACAACCGGAGAGCGTCTTATGACCTAATAACACAGACACTCTATTAGATACACTAGCTTGTAGAAGAGAAGTGGGTGCTTTGGAATGCTGAAGATGGTGAGTCGCAATTGAGGAAATTGTAACAGGATGCTAAAAGTGGTTTGTCGCGATTGAAGTGGGTGCGTCTGGACTTTCAAAATGAGACGTTGAAGTCAGCAGGTCAGGTTTGGATTGGGATCTGTTTGGATGTTGGAAGTGGCGCATCACAATGAAAAGTTGGGATGTTGAACGCGGTATGTTGTGGTTGAAGCTTGTATGTCAAGTTTAAAGGGGGCCCGTTCAGGTTGAAGGGGGTTCCATGTGTTGTAAATTGTTGGTGGCGCATCATGATGTTGATTGAAGGTGTCATGGTCTTGAACGCGGTGTGTTGGGATGCTATGGTGGTCCCGTTGGGATTGAAAGATGTTATATGTGCACGTATGTGTGTAGGATAAATAGTATATAGGTAATCATGAGTAAAATTGTGTGTTGTATGATGAGTGACACTCTTTCACTTTAGTGCCCAGAAATTTTTACCCATTGACTCTCATTAAAAGTTGCATATTCGCAATAGCTACTTCTGCAATGCAACTAATAGGACCAAAGTAAGGCGCGACACCCTAACTCCAGAACGTCATGTCTGACTCTCCGTACCTCGGTCTCCATAGATATCTTGGAATCGACATCTATATTTGTTGAGGATGCCGAAGCTGGTGTATTGGAATTGAAACCGTGCGTGTCATGACCGATGGTGGTGTGTCTGGGCCGGTGGTTTAAATCTTTACTCCTACTTTCATGTTCCCATCAGCTCGACTGTGGAGGCCATGTCAGACAACGTGTAATCTAGCCCGGCGGACAGCAGGAGGCGCCATGGCGGACCTTCCCATCGCTCCGGGCCAGGTCTACATTGAGGTGGAGTACGACTACGAATACAAGTCCAAAGACCGGCTGATCACCATCCACCAGGGAGAATGCTACATGCTGGTTCAGAAGACCAATGAAGACTGGTGGAAGGTGCGCAGGGAGGAGGGCAGCAAAGCCTTTTACGTGCCTGCTCAGTACGTCAAGGAGGTGCGCAAAGCCCTCATGCCGCCCCCCAAGCCTTTACCGCACCATCCCGTTAGCGCCGGGAACACACCGCCTCATCACCCCGTTCCCGCTGGAGGCATCCCACCTCATCAGCCCATTTCTGCTGGCAACACCCCACCTCAGAATACTGGTGCTGTCTGGGTGAAACCGGCCAATCTGGATCTTGCAGTCCAGGACTCATCCATGGCGAACCCAGACAGACCGGAGTCCAACCCTGCGCGTTCGCCCTCCGTTCATTCCTCCTCGTCCATGCATTTGACGCCACCCATCCAACGGCGGGACAGTAACCAGCGCCAGCATGTCCCCGGCACCCCAACGGGGCCCGAGCGATCTTTATCCGAAATCCCGGCCCAGAGCACCGTACCCGGGCCTTCCCACCAACTAAGCAGCACGCTCCCGCGCACCCGTACTCGATCGCCGGAGTTGGTCCGGGCCCCGCTGGATTTGGACAGTCCGATGCACTCGGGTGGCGAGGAACGGCGGACCAACGACTCGGAGTCTGGAGACGAGATGAGCAGCAGTTCTATGGAACAACTCCAGGTAAAGAAACCTTTATTGTTATGACTTGATGCTAGTGGAGGGTTAGTATGGGTAGTGTTTTTGTTTTGTGTTGGGGTTTATAATTAGGGTCTAAGGTTAGGTTTGGAATCTGGGTTCTGGAGTCTCACTGTTTTGTCTACTCTCTGTGACATGGGCATACTCGCAGCTGACAATGAGGCACTCTAAAACGTCTATGCTATCAAACTATCCTAAAGAGAAAAGGCTTTTTGGAGAGCCGGAATACTGTAGCTAGCTAGCAAACCGCAAACGAAGGCGCTCAAGCTCTTAAATGGTGGGAAAGGGGCAAGCTATGCTGGTGCCCGTGTGTCACAGAGCATCGTTTTAGTCACACACCCCAAAAGGAGACCTGAAATCATGAGAAACATTTCAATGCTACAATTGAACATTGTACTCCGTTTTTACATGTTTTCAGAGATCTTCCTAAATCATGTACTATTTATTTCGAAACAAATCTCTGCATTCACTTTATGGGGTCTTCAGGCTCTGGCTTATTGTTGGGTTTTTGGCTTGCCTTGATTGGTTAAGGTTAGTGTTAGGGATGGAATTCGGGGTTAGTGTTTGTGCTGGGTTTCGGCTTCAGGTTGGGGTTACGGTTGAAGTGAAGACCCGACCCATTCTTTTGATAGCTTGACTATTTCAAAGTCATTTTGATTCGTACCAAGAGCAGAAAGATTGATTTTGTTCACAATTCTAGCTTCATTGCTCCCAGAGCAAACGTACCAAACCAGAGTGGGGAAAGAACAACATGTTCGTGACGCAAAATGTAATAAAGGATGCTAGTATGAAAGCAGCCTCTCTGTGCTCACTGTAAATGTTCTTATTGCTGGACCACAGTCATTGTTTTGGAATGACCTTACAATGTGACTTTTTATGACATCACATCTTCTCAAACATGTTTTGTTTAGTCCAGCCTCTCCCGCTAATCTTCTCATCTTGGCGCCCCGCTGATGAAAGGCCATCCAAAGACAAACATACGTTTACGTTTTCATAATCCGACTTTTATGTGAACGCCACAATGGACTTCCTTCCTTTCTCACAAATGAACTCGAGGTCATATAACAGCAGTTTATTTAAAGGCCAAACAAAAATGTCACTCAACGTCCTTATAAAGCCCGCGGCAGTCTCGTGGCTAGTCTTCTGCTTAATCTCTATTCAATTGCAGTAGCTAGCAGAGGTGTTGGATGGTTTGGTTGACTTTGTTTTGGGAGAGCGCTACAGTGCTTCACTTGGGGCACAAAGCCTGTGCGTTACTTTATGAAGAAATTCTGGCGCGCGCGCGCACACACGCACACACACACACACACACACACACACACACACACACACACACACAGCAGCGCGGCAGTTGGTGCACTCATTTTGCTGTCTCTGCTTATTTTCTTCATAAAAAATTCACCCGGTTTTCTCCAGGCTCCGGTCCAGTGGGCCCCAAGTCGACTTTTAGTAATGATTTTTTTTTAACCACCCCGAAACACTGCAGAATAAGAAAGCTTAGTTTTCTAATCATTCATTTAGGTAAAACAAGCCTGTGTAGTCAGCGACATGTGGATTAGCCGTTCTTTGTCGATTTCATGGAAATTTGAGCAGTTTAATCAAGATGCCTGACGTGCCGCTTGCCGATCTCATTGTACTTCTGAACATTAAAAGACAGGAATGCTCGACGATGTACTCGTCACACTTTTAGGTTTTTACAAAAATAACATCGGGTCAAGAAAGTACATAATGTGCTGCTCGCTGACGTGTACATGGTAATACTTTGACGTTGTTGCAGAAATACGTCAAAACAAAGCACTAGGCTGGACACTCACAGTTCGATATTTTTACAGATAGTGCATGATATGCTGCTGGTTGCCTTGGCTTGCTGAATGCAGAAGAAAAGCATATTTATCTTAGTGTAGCCTGCGCAGGGATCCCTTTTCAAAGAAGTCTCAGAATAATCAACATTCTGTGTAGCGATTATGAGGGGATCATCTGCTGTGTCTTTGATTAGTCACAAACAAGTGTGTGTCTGTGTGTGTGTGTGTCTGTGTGTGTGGGAGCCACAGTTCTTCACTTTATAGAGCTTTTCGTCTTAATCCCTACAAGCGCTTCAATTGGATGTGTTTGTGTGTACTATGTGTGCAGTGGTGTTATGTCAGCAGAGCACTGTGCGCCCTCTCTCTCTCTCTCTCTCGCTCTCTCTCTCTCTCTCTCGCTCTCTCTCTCTCTCTCTCGCTCTCTCTCTCTCTCTCTCGCTCTCTCTCTCTCTCTCTCGCTCTCTCTCTCTCTCTCTCGCTCTCTCTCTCTCTCTCTCGCTGTGTGTGTGTGTGTGTGTTTATGTTTATGTAATAGAAGTGTTTGGGAGTCTGTGGGTGTAGCATTTTCGCCCATGTCAGACACACACAGAGTGGTCACGGCGACAGCACCACGACGGTAGCGGCCATCATCATGTACCCAGATGACAACGGCACGGTAGGTCGGACGGACCGGAGGCTTCAGTTTCACGTTTCCAAGCCGGTCAGCACTTTTTACGCACGTGACGTCAACGCCGCTTGTAGCAGCTGGCGAAACATACCACGCTATAGACTGACTGCAAGGGATGAGCTTTGAGTTGTCAAATTGGCGATATATATATATATATATATATATATATATATATATACACACATACACATAGATAATTTATTTATTTTCAAGAGAGACTCCCGGAGTTGACAGCTTGACTTTTCTGACCCCTTTAGTGACTGTTCTATAAAAAAAGCTACTTGTGACTTTAATTCCCGCTACGAAACAGATAAACGTGAGTTTGTGGAATCATTTCCATATTGTTTTGCTTTGGCCACCGTTTAGCCGTTCATGCTAAAGACGTAGCTGAATCGCTGAATGGAGCAAGCTAAACATTATGCTGTTGTTGTCAATGGATCCATGTGGCCGGCACACAGAGGAACGAGAGGACTGACTCGCCTGTGTCCCGCGATGCTCAAAGTGATGCCGGCGAAAGGGCGAGCCGCACTACGTTACATAATAACATTTGTTTGGACAGCTGGTTGCTGAGCCGAGCTCTGGCTCGAGGACAGAGAAGGACTGGCGAAATGTACACGAAATACAGGAACATCAATGTGGCAATGGAAAAGTGTTTGTTTTTTTTATTTTTTCGTCATTTTGGCATTTGAAAGTAGCTCGTTTCTGCTTTGTAATTAGCGTGAGCAAAAAGTCACCCTTTAGTGACAGTTCATTGTATTCACGTTCTTGTGGAACAGCACAACTGGCACAACTGCTGTTTCCTGTCGTCATCTATCGTCATTCGACACTGCAATAATCCCAAATGTTGACATTGGGCAGCTGCGGCTACACTCTGTTGACATGTCGGAATTTGTCAAATGTTTTGAAGCGCTGCGCTGCAGACATCGATGCACTAATAACGTAGAACCCAAGTGTGTTTTCAAATGCTTCCCCCACAGTTAGTTTAGCTTTTTCAGGATGCTCAAATGATTTATGGAGCCTCTGTCGCCACTAAATGGGTCTCTCTTTGCCCCGCCCATATGTACTCCCTCACATAAATCAGTGTGCAGTGTCATTTGTCACCTTCTTCAAGAAAGACCAGTTTTTCTTTGAACTTTGCACCCCACCGAACCCGCATACTCGCTTATTAATCATTAACTGTGATGGCAAAGCACCACATAATGCCCATCCACTTATTTCTAGTGTCATTACTTATAAATGATTAATCTATCTACCTGCACCAGGGAGGTCTTAATTGATTTTTGGGGCAGATTCTCACTACTGTAAAATTCTGAACTGTCAAACCACTGTAAATAGAACGCAGCCACTGTTTATCATCAAAGGTAAAAAAATCAAATCAAATCGTAAAACATCAGAGCGCAATTTTGAATTGGGACTTAGACAATGCAAAAAATAAAATAAAATTCCACCTATGATTTAATTATGATAATTATTAGTTATGTTGTAGTTTTTATTATGTGATTTAGATTTTATTTGTAGTCTGTGGAGTGCAGTTTTTAATTTGTGTATTATTATTATTATTTTTTGTAAATGTTTTTTTCTTTAAATGTATAAATATCCATCCATCCATTTTCTGATCCGCTTATCCTCACGAGGGCGTGCTGGAGCCTATCCCAGCTGTCTTCGGACAGGAGTCGGGATATACCCTGAACTGGTTGCCAGCCAATTAACAAGCATGCCATTGGTGGCTTCAGCAACAAACATTCACACTCACACCAAGAGACAAGTTGGAATGATCAATTAACCTACCGTGCATGTTTTTGAAATGTGGGAGTAAACCACAATACCCGGAGAAAACCCACCCAGGCATGGGGGTGGGGGGGGGCATGCAAACTCCACACAGGAAGGCCACAGCACGGAATCACACTCACTGCGAGGCGGGCGTGTTAACCAGTCGTCCACCGTGGCGCCTTAAATATTTCCCAAATGTGGAAAGTTGACAGGAAACTCTTCTGGAATGCTCCTTATTGTGACGCCTTCTCTCATAATTTCCTTAATTGTCCTTGTAAAACAATGAGCGTAGCGTAGCTTCGCATAGCCCTAATTACACTTTCGTTTCCTGTGTGGTTCCAAGCCTCTTTGCATCGTTCCATTCCAGGTTAGACGGGTTGTTAATTCTTTCCGATGACTCACTGTACACTTTTAACCACCACGTTGGTCAACGTTTCGAGCGCCATGTTGCCACCGCGGTTGACGACATGGGACCGGTTGGTCTTGGGTCTCGTTGGACTGGTTTGATCCTGACAGGTTTTGTGTGCGGTTGTCTGAGAAAACCAAAGACTTCTCAACCAGAAAGACCAGTTCATGTTCTATGAATGAAGTGATGCGATTCACATTAGGAAAAAGCTTTATTTATTTATTTTTATTATTTTCCTCCATGGCATGTTTTTGGATATTCATAGAAAAATAATGCGCAGACAATGGTTCTTTATTTATTGATGTAATGTATTTAATTTCATTATTTTAAAGTTTATATG